GCGCTGCTTGATTACGTTGGCTAATGTTACTGGTCGCCTCACAATTAAATAGTTGAACGCCACCTTAATTAGTATAATTCAACTGCCACGTACTGTTTGATTACGTATTCTGGTGTTAGTGAGCGTTTCCGAATGAAGTAATCGAACAAGACGTTTATGTGGCTAATTCTTATACTATGCACTATTTGAATACGTCCGCTTACGTTAGCGCCTTGTTCACAAAAGAAATAATTGAACACCATTTTGGTTAGAATAATTCATGTGCCATGCACTGTGTGATTATGTCTTCTCATGTTTGTGATTCTTTCACAATGAAAGAATTGAACAGTACTGTATTTAGGATAATTCATATTTCATGCGGTGTTTGGTTTTGTCCTCTAATGTTAGCGATCGCTTCACAATGAAATCATTGAACACTATCTTGCTTAGGATATTTCATCTGTTATGCATCGTTTGATAGTGTCTTCTAATGGTAATGACCATCTTACTATGAAATAATTGAACATAATCTTTATTAGTATTGTTCATATTCTATGTGTTGTTTGAATATGTCTTCTAATGGTCACGGTCACTTTGCAGTAAAACAATTGGACACCGTCTTAATTAGTATAAATCATATACCATGCGTTGTTTGATCACGTCTCTTGATACTAGCGGTCGCTTCAGAATGAAGTAATGGAACATCATCTTGATTAGTATAATTCATATGCTATGCACTGCTTTGTTGTGCTTTCTGAGGCTAGCGTTCGCCTTACAATGAAATAATCAAACACCACCTTCGTTAGGATAAGTCATATACCATCTACTGTTCGATCATGTTTTCTGATGTTGGCGATCACCTCACAATGCAATAATTGAACATCTCATTAATAAGTATAATTCATGTATCATGCAGTGTTTGATAATGTTTTCTCATGTGAGCGCTTGCGTCATAACGAAATAATCGAGCAGGACATTTTTTATTATAATTCATATGCTATGTACTGTTAAACTTTGAGTGGCATAGTCATCAATGGCTTAAGAGTAAAATAATCGAATAGAACTTTAATTATCATAATTCATGGACCATGTACTGTTCAAACTTCTGTTCTGCTATCTTTGATTGTTTAAGACTATAATGATTGAATAGAGCCTTGCTTGGGATAATTCATATGCGATGCGCGGTGCAACCTTGTACTCTGCTGCCATCGATTGCTAAAGAGTAAAATAATTGAGTAAGATGTTATTTCGGATAATTCATATGCCATTCACTTTTCAGCCTTGTATTTTATCATCATGTGCTGCTAGAGGGTAAAATAATTGGACATGACCTTCCTTGGGTTGATTCATTTGTAGTAGGATACTTTAACACAATGTTTGTAGCTAATTTTTGATTGAGACATGCGAAGAAATGAATAAGTGTATTGTTATTACTATGTGTTTCTTGCGTATATCTTCATTGTGAGGCGTATCATTATTTCTTGATGCAATGGGAACTATATATATGAGCAGAGTGCTGAAGCTTAGAATGATTCACTTGTTTACTGATAATTAGTGGCATGATGTAGGAGTGTATTTGACTTTGAGTTATTCGGTATATTTGAACAAAGCTATCCTTATGGTTTGGAGGATTCATCAACCGAGTGATCTAGTGCTACGCGAGGGACTTTCCTACTGCATTCTCGATGAGTTACATAGTTTAAAACACCTGTGCTCAAAACTAGTCGCTGGTGGTGCATTCATTATTCGAGGGTATGTGATGTATCAGAGTTTTTTGTGAGGAAACCTTTCGAATCGGTATTTTTTTTTTAAAGTTCGTCTACTACATGAGTTGATCGATTCGAGTTACATATGAGCATTGTTTATAAGTGATTGATATACTTGAATAAAAGTATTTTTCGGCTTATTCATTTTTGCAATGGCATCTTTCCTCACATCAACGACAGAAATTTTGCTTCACGATTGATGATATAAATGAGAGAACAGATTGTTGCTTCTGTTCGTTTACCATCATGAAATTGGTAGTTAGATCACCAGGTTTAGTTTTAATTCAAAGTACTGTGTATGTATTGAACAGGATGCTTGTTAAGAATATTCAGTTTCCGAATCATTTAGAACCACATAATACTGTCCATGGATTAATTCAAAGTAAATACGAAGTTTGAACAGAAAATTTGCTGTGGAAATTCATGCGATATGTAATCAATGATGTACTGTGATGTTAAAGATTGATAATTAAGTTAACACCGCACGTGAACATATTTTTCGCGTTGAACACTTCACAAATTGTACGAGACGTTCGTCAAGTGACTTTGAACATTCTACACTCTCATTTTATTTTTTCATTTACTCTCACAGAACTTATTTTTTTCATAAACTTTTGATGTAATATGAATGTAACCTAGTCTTGAAGAGTGTTTGTGTCTTTTGAAATTCTGTAAAGGTGTTTAAGTGCCTGAAAGTCAAGTGTATCACAAACTCTAGTTGAGCTAAGACTACTTTCATACAACATTACATATTTGCAAGATAAAATTTTTTAATCGGAAACAAAAAATTTAGATTGGATCACTAATCAATTGTGATGATTTTATTAATAACTAGCTTTCCTGTTCTTAATTTTGTCGTTCATCTTTTTCTCTCTCTATTTTGCCAAAATAAATATCATACCATTTTTTTGTCTTTCAAGTCTTATTTTTAATATTTGATCATTGTGTCATGTTCTTCAGCATTCTTAATAAATACATTATTTCAAAATACAACAAACGTGTGCGAATTTATCGTAGTAGAACTCTGAAAAATCTTGATGTCATGCGTCTTATTAATCTCATGAAGAGTGATATCACTACATCCTATACGTAAGAAAAAGAGATTTTATGTTTTGTTTTGTCTGATGGTGAATAATAGAGCATGGTGAAATTTGTGCGAAATTCTTGTTATTTCTTCTTAAAATCTTAGCTGAAAGCATAAATAATTCTAAAATCAATGCAACGGAAAACATGATACTTCATTGCTTGAAGTTGCTTTACTGTAGTTTAAAATGCCTTACCTTACTTTTAGGACACATGTCAAATCTGAAAGTTGAATTTAACTATTCAATTATTGAACAATTAAAGTAAAAATATGGTGTGTGGATGTGGTTGAAGAGAGCACTTGCATCCACACCTTTTTTTTCTGCTGTTGTCATTGATATCACATCTTAACTGAGTTTGTTGATGAAATCCATCCGCTGTGGGACAATATAGAACAATAGAAAGTGCACACTATGTCAATATTTTAATTAATTATCAAAATTATGTTCCTTAATAAAATTTATTTTACTCGAATTTATTTATTACAGAGAGATATTGTGACCAGTAAGGAAAACAAAACTATACCTGCTTTCATGATGTATTAATTATTAAAATGCAATTTTTACAAATGTAAGATAAAGTTTACATTATAAAAAGAAAAAGTCGTGTCTTTTCAAGCCTCTTTATCTTCTATACTCTTAAGCGGCAAAGCATTGAAAATCCATCAACGTAACGCAATTTTTGTTCCTTTTTGTTGATTTCTAGTTTCTGTAAAATTTTCAACTTTGGTAGCAGGGTGGGGTTGTTGGTGTGACTGTGATTGTGGGTGCGGTAGCGGATGTAGTCTTTTAGTCACTCACATCCCCAACGGTCTACACCGACACCCTCATCTTGTTTTTGGAACCAAACAAGCGTACTGGTAATAAGGAAAAGTGAAAGAGTCTCAATATGTTTCCTTTATTTTTCGTCAGATGATGCTTTTCTTTACTTGTTGAAACCGTATCTCGCTATTGTTGTTCAAGTCGTATTTATCTATGTTCAATCGAGAAGCCTGACTATCAATTTGTGCGATCAATTAAATATATAAATTACAGAATTGATAGAATTCAATACTATCGAATTGTATTAGCTGAAGATCTTTATAGTCGAATTTGCAAACCCATGTTTTAAAAATGTTAAAACAGGTTTGCAAAACTTTTTCTCAAGTAGTATTGAGCCCTTAAAAATTTAATCCAAGAATTGAGTATTTGAAAGATTCCTGGTGTAAAATCTTTTATTTACTAGTAGTTCGATATATTTTCGGTTCGAGAGTCTATTGTTAGTTCTTGTAATCAATTATTTCTTCACGCCCTTAAAATTATCCTACGTTTTTAAGCAGTTTTTTAAACCTGAAAACTAGCTACGATTTTTTTCTTTTAGTGTCTTTTCTTTCAACAAAAAGATCCTTTTTTTTCTGCAAATGACACGAGAAAATATCTAAGATGATATTTCCTAGAACGTCAACCATGCTTCAGCATGACATTTAACGAAAAAATTACGAAGAATTCATCGATGAAAACTACTAAGTTGAAATGAGAGTTATGATTCAATAGTTTGGCAACGTGTTTAAAAATTCAAGGTTTACTAAACTGATACTTTAGGAAAAATAAACAAGCCAAAATATAACTTGTATGCTATTTTTTAGAGACCACCTGCGTATACGATCAGATAAGATGCTGTTGTTTTTAAAGTAACAAAAAAAAATCTTTCTTTTTTGTTTATCGAAACATGGGGTCAACACTATCCAAAATGCAAGCCATTGTATTTCATCAAGACTACTCGAGTTGGTTCTCTTCCTTGGCTTTGAGTAGTTTTTTACTATCATAGACATCATAACTATTTTTTACTCACCATATATTCGATGTATATTCAATAGATTTATTCGAATACAAATTCGTAAACAAATTATAGATCGGTATTTGCGACCAGGAGACAAAGATGTATTTGTCTCCTACCATAAAAATTCACTTCGTGATCTGCAAAAGATCAATAATGATCTATTAAGAAAAATCGTGAAGAACAATCTATCATGTGCTCTTTTCGTTGATCAATCAATTTCATTCTTGCCATCAAAGCTTTCTCGGCCATTTTCAAATGAAGAAGAAGAAAGTGAATTCATTCATGAATTTCGACAAAAACTTCCCCTGACTACGTATGAAAACTATCGTGATTATATCGATCGGATGATAAACAATGAAGAGAAAAAATTTACTTTCTTCTGATAAAGTCGTCTATTTTACTGTTAGCTCTGAAACTACTGGAAAGCCGAAACATATTCCTGTAACTACAGCAATGTTGAAACGAACAACGAAGATGCTTCTTATCAGGACTACTGCTGTTTGGCGGCCATTTCCTATATCATCGTATCCTACAGCTGAGCAACGATTTTTTACTTTCGAAACAGGAAAGAAATCCAACATATTTCTAAGATCTAAAGATGGCACACCAATTGGACCTTTAACTCAATTCACATCGGCTGTTAATCTTTTTCCAGGAATGAAACAATTTGCATCATCAAGCGCTGTTAATGATCTTACATTGATCGAAGGTATTTCAGATTATGAAACAAGTACATTTGTTCAACTAGTTTTTGCATTGACAGCTGCAAATATCGTATATTATTCAGTTCCATTTGCATCGGATCTTTTGCATAGTGTAAAAATAATCGAAAATCATTTTGAAGAAACGTGTCTGTGCATAACTTCATCTGATTTCTATCATAGTTCATTTGTTCGTCAAAATATTCCTGATGTAAAATTTCGGACTACTTTGAATCCAGATTTAGAAAATATGGCTTTGGAATATGGTGGATTATCTTACCGATCAGAACAAGTTAATCATATACGAAAAGAATGTCTCAAAAAAAATTATCTTGGCTTACTTCATCGTCTTTGACCGCAGCTAGTTTTTGTATCTACTGCATTAGGAAGTTCATTATCCATGTACAAGAAAGAGATCAAATTTTATTGTGGATTACAATTACCTCTAATTAATATAATTGCCTATATTTCAAGTGAAGGTATATTTGGAATTCTTGCAAGTATTCATACAAATGAATATTTTCTATCACCATTATTGGCATTTTTTGAATTTATTAAAGAAGAAGATATAAATCAGGTATGCTGTTTATATTTTTTCACAGATTGTCCGAGAAGTGCTTAGCCAAAGAAACATTGAAATATCTTCACAATATTCGGATCTAATGGGCTAATATTTTTATCACTGCTCGAGCAGTATTTGTAGCTCATATTCACGCAAGAACTATTGACTAAATCTGTTGCAAAGAACCACAACTGACTTCAACAAGGAACTATAACTTTTCAAGGGTTATTAAAAAAATACAATATATGTATTTCCTAGGCAAGAATAAATGACGCATCAAAGGTACGTCTTTTAACTCCTGGTACATACTGAGTTTCAGCAACAAAGAGAATGAATTTACTGAGTAAAATGCTGTATTGTTTTTCTCTTCATAATCCGTGAAGTGTTATAGCTCTTTGTTGGAATCAGTCGTGATACTTCAAAAGAAGCTTTTTCAACGCTTCTCCTGAGAATATGAGCTATGATCACTCTTCTATCAGTGGCACAAATATTACCCAATTGGGTCATAATATTGCAGAGATGTTTAAAATTGTTTTAGCTAAGAATTGTCTACACACCCTATATACTTCATTTGATTCTGTAATGAATGTTGAAATCCATAGTGAAAAATGGACAAAATCTTTCCAAGTTTGTCTAAAACAATGAGAACATCAAGATCGATGTGATAAGGAGAAATCAAAATTTTAAATATTCGACATTTTCCCTAGTAACCGAGACATTTTAAAATCTTGAAGTTCAAATCTGTGATTTATTCACGATTCTCAACATTTTGATATGTGTTATCATATCCTCTGTGACACAAAGCAAGGCATGAAGCTCTGAATTAAGTTTGCGATTGAATAGCTTTCATCCTGCTCTGCAAAGTTTATTGACATAGAAATTGTACTGAAACTTAATTTTCTTATAAAGACTTGTTTTGTTGTGTTTCAGGTTCAACCAAAGACTGTGCTTATCTCAGAGATCGAACCAGGAAGGGTGTGGGCGTGTGGTCTGGGGTGTGCCTGTAGGTGAAGAGAAGACCCACACCCAAAATACAGAGAAATAAATAGTTTTCTGAGATAAAATACATTTTTAAATATACATCAACTAAAGAATCTTTATACATACGTTTCGTAATTCTTGTAAGACAGCTGTGATTAAGGATGATATTTGAAAAGAAAAAAAAAATCATATCAAAATTGAAAAATCATTTATTCTATTTATATGTTTTGAAATGATTAATATAGTTCTGCACTGTTCAAAACCTCATAATTATCTCCACCAGTAATTAAAACTTTTTCATTTTTTAATGTAGATGCTGTATGACATTGCCGAACAAAAGTCATGTTACCAGTAGTTGCCCAAGTGCCTGTTGATGGATCATACAGTTCAGCAGTACCTAAAGGACCCCACAAATCCTCTCCGCCAGTAATTAACACTTTTCCATTTGTTAATATGGATGCTGTGTGGTAATCTCGAGAATAATTCATGTTACTAGTAATTGTCCAAGTTTCAGTTGATGGATCATACAATTCACTACTATTTAGACGACCATCCTTACCGAACCCACCAGTAACTAGGACTTTTCAATTTGGTAATACGGTTGCAGTGTGAAGATTCCGCACATAATTCATTTTACCGGTAGTTGTCCAAATTTCTATTGATGGATCATACAACTCAGCAGTATTGAGACCACCATCATCACTCAGTCCACCAGTGATCAACACTTTCCCGTTCATTAATACGGATACTGTGTGTCCATTTCGTGGATGTTTCAGGCTACCAGTAGTTGTCCAAGTTTCGGTTGATGGATCATACAACTCAGTACTCTTTAGACGACCAGTGTCATCCATTCCACCGATAGCTAATACTTTTCCATTTCTTAATACGCATTGTGTGTGCCACTGTCGTCCATACTTCATATGACCAGTAATTGTCCAAATTCCAGTTGATGGATCATACAACTCAGCACTAGTCAGACGACCACTGTCACTCAATCCACCAACAACTAGTACTTTGTCATTTGTTAATACCGATGCTGTGTGCATACTTCGCGCATAGTTCATCCCACTAATAACTGTCCAACTGCCGGTTGACGGATCATACACCTCAGCACTATTTAGACGAGTAATACCACCTTCGCCCAATCCACCAGTAACTAATACTTTTCCATTTGTTAATACGGATGCTGTATGCCATTCTCGTGCATAATTCATGCGACCAGTAGTTTTCCATTCTAGGTATATATATTTGATTTGAATGTAACACTTATAAAGAGGCAAAAGAATTAATCTGAAGCTTACGTGATTGTTGAGTTGTGATTGTAGTTGCAGTGATTGTTACTATTCATTAAAAGAAAACATTTACGTAAATAAAACATAAGTGTTACACTCGAAAGTTGTTGCAATGATTCAATTCGAGTTCTCACCTAGGAGGGTGAAAAGAGAGTAAATACAGAAAAGTTTAAAACTCGAATCGAATTATTCACGACTTTCACAATACTGAGCCAAACCTGTGGTGCTAAAATAGAAGAATACGGCGTGTTAAAAGAATGATAAGTAAAAATTGATGTGATTTACCTAAGAAGAACGAAAATGAAATAACGCATTATATTTTTAATCATAGCTTGTGTTGAAATGAAGCGATATCGTGCTAGTGTCTTTTTTTCTTATTTCTATCACATAGGTGGTATTTTAATCTGCATCGCTTTAAAGGCTGAACAAGTGGAAACTTGATATTGCTGCTGACGTACTTTTATGATGATGCAAAAAAATATAATTTTCTTGGATTAAAAACTTCGATCAATATGTTGTGTATACATGACTCAAGGTTTTTATTATCATTCTGATTGATCATACGTTTGTTCTTGATTCTTGAATCAGACGCATAATACTAAACGAAAGATGTGAGTTACAATGTTTTCTTTTTCGGTCGTAAAATTAGATTAAAACAGGATGACGTGAACACTTTGTGATGAAAGCTCCTCAAGTTTTTTGAAATTTTAAGTCATTGTCATTGTCATTACTGTGAAACTCTCACTCTTCCAACACGTTACGAGCAACATTTATTTTGCATGTGTTTTAGTATTGAAGAGCAATTCTTCCTACTTGTTGAATGTCGAATCAGATCAGCTTCATCTTGAATCTAGACTAAAAAGACACTGCTCCGTATACCGTTTGTTCTTCTCCTTTTTGTGTGTTCTGCTCTCTTTCTTTTTGCTTGCGTGTTCTGCTTTCTTTCTTTTTGCGTGCGTGTTCTGCTCTCTTTCTTGTTGTGTTCTCTATTCTCTTACTTTGCTGCAGTCATTTATCTGACGTTATACACCACGTGCGTACGACTTGTACTATGGTTTTTTTTTCATGAATGACATAGAAGCAACGTCATTCTGACGTTCTATTTTACTGTGCGTATTTATAAGTTGCTCTCATTGACTTAGTACACAATTTACATCAAAATATATTCTTCCAACGATAGTTTAACCAAAATCACACGCAATTAAATGGCTCAGACTACCAAACCGATTCTTGTCACTGGAGCTGGCGGTGGTGTAGGATCTGTTTCAGGAATTATCGTCGACTTACTGAGAAAACAAAATATATCCGTTCGAGCTCTTGTTCGACGTGACGATCATCGTGCACAAGCTTTGCGCGAACGAGGTGCCGAAGTCATCATCGGTGATCTTACACAATTGCCCGATGTTCATCGAGCAGTAAACGGTTGTGGACGCATCTACTTTAGCATTACTGTTGCTTCCAAATATCTCGAGGCTACTTTAAATACGATTGCCGTCGCCAAGTATTACAATATTGAAGTCTTTGTTAACATGTCTCAGGTATGTGTACACAATGCAAGTCAGTGCTTGTTTTGAATTATATTTTGAATCCTACTTAACTGACACTGATCAAAGTTTCTGACCAGAAATGCTGTCAAAGATCGAACTTTTCTCTAAAATGTTGCCTCCCACCTATAATCAACCCTGATCTAAATTTCTTTAGTGACTGACAAAGCCATCTAGTTGCCTTTGCTTTTCAGATGACTGTGTCAAAAATGAACATCAACCAAACCTCTGCGAGTCCACAAGTAAATGCACATTGGTTGGGAGAGCAAGCTTTGGAATGGTCAGGTGTACCTTTCGTGAATCTTCGTCCAACTATCTTTATGGAGGTAGGCTGTTTTTACCTTTTCAAACTATTCCTCCAACTTCTAGAACTTTTATTAGAATCCTCATTTGTATCACTGGGCAAAATCTGCAGTCGCCGAACACGATGAACTGCGCATTCCTTTTGGCTCTGGTCGTATACCACCTATTGCTGCCTATGATGTTGCTCGGGTGGCTGCTGTTATTCTTACTAATCCAGCTGCTCACATTGGAAAATCATATGACCTTACCGGTCCGAAAGCAGTTAATATGGACGAGGTAGCTAACATCTACTCTGCTGTCCTTGGTCGCAAGATTCGTTATGTTCCACTGGATTGGAATGAATGGAAGGACACAACATTAAAAGAACACGTATTAAAAGATGGTTGGGAGCAGCATACTGCTGATCATTTGGCCAACTTAGCCCAGCTCATTCAGAAAGGCACTGTCGAAGTATCTCCGAATGTTGAACTTCTGACGGGATCACCTGGAATGGATTACGAGCAATGGGTAAAGCAACATGTCCAAGAATTCAATAAAAATGACTGATTTATTTAGAGCAGTTCAAATGTAGTGGCAATGACATTTTAATACCGTATAGTAAACTTTAGAAGACTTTATTTTCTATGATAGGTAATGTTTATACTAATGTCTATTAAAAAAAATAAGAGTGAATATTTTTTGAATAACTTTTAATAGAAACAAGATACATAGCTGCAATTTTCACCAATCGAATGAGGTGATAAAGATCCATCGAATCGTATATTATAGGAATTTTTTGAATTGAATTTTTTAAGGTTTTCAATCGACCTTTTTGAAAACAAATATAACCCGTGAGATGTTTACAGCAAGTTATCCATTGTCGAGTGTGTATTCAAATCGTCAAGGGCAGATTTACAACACTGTACAAAGTTGACATGTTTAGAGTTAATCATTCAAGAGTTATAAATAGTCTAATTGAAACTCTAAGTGATTTTTCTAGCATATCTGTTTGATAAAAAGCCAATTTTTTCGACATTTTGAAAATTGATTAAACAAACTTCACACAACATTCAAGAAAAACTTATAATAGATGTTTCGATGCATCTTCATCGTCTCTTTCGAACGATGAAAACAACAACCTTCCATCTTGTTTCTATGGAAAATTATTCAAAAAATATCCACTCGTTTTTTTTTAAATAGACATTAGTATAAACGTCACCTATCATAGAAAAACAGCTCTTATTAAAATTTTATTCTTACGATATTAGAAAGTTTACTATACGGTATTGAAATGTCATTGTCACTACTTTTGAAATGCCCTAAGTATATTGTGAAAACTGTTCTGGTGATATGGTTATGTACTGTTTCAATCAGAGCATAATATTCTAAAGATCTCTTTCATTAGTTGCAAACCTTAGTATCGTCACAATAGATCCATAATTATATCAGCTATTTTTAAAAATTGATGTTTGATTTTGCTCAATAAATTTTTCAACATTTATTCGTAAAAAAACATCACATATATATATGGCTTTTACTATGAGTTGTAGTGGATCGGGATTCTTTTTTTTTAAATCGTTCTGATTGATTCTAGTTTTGATGAATTATTCTGATTTCAACCATATCATATACAAGAACAAATACATAAATTATCTAGTTGTATACATTACAATGTTCAAAATCATTTCATTTTGTGTAAATATTTTTGTCTCTTTCTTTATATTGTCATTTAATCAAAAACAAAAATAGCAGAGCATTAGGGAGTGATGGTGAAGTTGATTGCAATCGGATCAACGTATTTTGTTGGAATAAATTAGTAATTATGTTAAGCTGAAATGAAATTGATGTTGAGTAAAGGTGTTTCGACATAACGCTGATGATTAAAAAGAAAGTTCTTACGAAAAACACTTCGTTTCTATCTTTATGTGAAATTCTTCAAGTAATTACTCAGCAAAGAACATGTTTGAATGTAGGCAATAATTGTTTATGAATACGAAAAAAAAACAGATTTGATTGCTTGAGATTATCATAAAATACATCGTGATTCATAATTTCACACCATTATAGGAACACTTGAGGTTTTTAAACAAAAATGAAGTTATTATATGAACGTATTATACTAAAGATTTAATTCATTTTCATATCCTTATATCCTCTCTAGTTCTACTATCTCAATAGAACAACATGCAGTACGTGCGAAAAAAATTTTTGGTAAGATTCATAACGAGATTTCATTAGACACATCTTTACTAATTTATCTTGATTTGATTTTTTCTCATCGTGAAATAATAGATTTGACGTGTCTTTCATAATAATAACAGCCGATGATCTTGAAGTGAATAGCAATCATACATTCTCTTTCAAGTAAATTAATCATATTTTATCTCAGAGAAATAATAATTAAAATGTCGAGCAGAGACTATTTGGATTGAGGTAAACACAACACATATTTTCTTTCGTATTATACACATTTAGTGTGTTAAGATATACTGTGAAATGCGCAGCAATGATGTTTTATGCTTCAAAGTCAAACACTATTGTTAGGGCTTTATATTTCATGTTAATACGAAACATCTGAACTGAAAAGTGTTTGTGTTCTACTTTTAATAATTTTAATCGTATATTATTACTTGATCTCACATTGTGTACAGAAATCTTCGTTCTTTCAGTATATATATTTCGAAGGGGACAACGGGACTTAAACATCAATTAATTTAGTAAATAAATGTCCAGAAAAAGAATTGTCCTTAAAAGGTGGTTGAGTTCATTACATTTGCTAAGTTAATTTATAATGAAGACCTATGACATATCTTAAAGTATATATATTCCTGGAAGTAAATAGTTGCAGTCTGTATTTTAAATATATCATTATAATAAAACCATATTTAAATGCACTGCTCAAATTGATAAAGCTTGAAATTCTCTATTATCTTGTATATTTTTCTTGTGCCTGACAAGCTCTAAAACACAGTAGACTTTTTAACTTTTTCTTTCGTTTTTATTTCTAAAGTTTAGGATGATTGAATATATGAGGTACTGTCAAAGGATTCAATTACTTGTTCAAAAAGTTATTTCTACACGAATAAAGAAGTTGGTAATAAAGAGTAAAATGTTAATTGAAATTCCAATTTTTCCGATTTCTTAAGGAGATTATCTATATCATACTCGAATTATTACAAGAGAACAGATAAACATATGAAATAATAGAAAATTTCAATTTCTATCACAATATATATTTACTTTTCTAAAAAAAACATTTCTATATTAATGAAAACTTGAAAAAAACTAATTTTTATAACAGTGGCAAAATCAAGTTCATAGAAACTTGGTTATGAAAGTAGCTTCATTGTACTCGATTTATTTTGGTAGTGCACTAGTGTAAATTAAAACATGAATACATAGAGCGATAGGAAGCTTCATGCTCTTCCAGGATACGTACTTACTTATTTCTTTAAATTTGCTTTTATTGTTATGATATATTTAAAATATAGACTGAAACTATTTATTTCCAGATATATATGTATATATGCTTTTAAAATAATATTAATAAACAAGAAGTATGTATTTTGCTTTTAGTATTATTAATTCAATGGTAATTATTTGGTATTTAGTTACATGAAAGTAACTGCGGCATGACATATACACTGAAATTTTGAACAAACATATTAGAATTAATCTTTCATTCAATAAAGATATTCAGCTTATTTTTATCTAAAATAGAAATCAGTAAATTCACTCAATTTCTGATAATACGCTACACAAGTTTTGCTGTTAATATAATGTATTTTCACTTCCATATGTATTCAACACTTCTCTCTATTTGAGCAATTCTGATTAAAGCGACATATTTGATGCATATTCATTTGAAGATGATTTCTTTCAAAAGTCTCCCAAGACTTTTCTTTTCACTGAACTTTCTGTACGTACCATTCAAAATCACAAAGAAATAAGCAAAAAAAATATTGGTTATATTTACTTATCTTGTCGAGCTGAATATCAGTATGATATAAATAACTCATGTTCAAGAGTAATTAATTTTACTCACAATGCAATATATCTTGATTGTTCACAAATAAAATAACTTGTTACAGAGGAAGAAGAGAGACATGCGTTAGACCATATGTCTACACAAAAGCTATAATATTGATAGAATAGAATAAATGTGAACCAGCGACTCATAGTAAATCGCTCTTCTCTTCTGTAACTTTCTCTCCATCATTAATATGTCAATAACATGGATGAAAGTAGCGATAGGCACTCTTGATTACAATGATAATATTGTGCTTTGTTATTGTAACGAATATTTTCATGATTTGTTTTGATCTTAGACTAGAAAAGAATCATCTCAAGTAAGTCATAACCAAAATTCAAAGCTTAAGGAAAACATAGTTTTTATTCCAAGTGTTATATTCATGGAAACTATTAATCAAATAAATGGGTTAAAATAGCTGATGGTATTCGAGTAACTTCGAATATAGCATCAGGATGACTACACTCATATGACAAGAATCTATTCAAATTGCACTCAAACGTACTGAAAAATAGGCAAAACGATTAGTAGTAGCGAATGTGAATTAAAAGCTAGAGAAGATGTAAAATTCAGTATTTTGTATTCAATGAAATACAATACAATATTTTTGATTTACTAGTTGTCATAATGTCAATATTACCTTTTTTTTTGCTCGAACCATTATACTTACAGAAGTATTATCAATTTTTTTTACTCCTATAGCTCATTTCCATTATACAATTCATTGAAAGATTCTTTTGGCATATACGTTTAGTTTGAATTATTGTTTGAATATAGGTAAAATAAAATATAGATGTTGTTTAAGATTTTCACTCTATTTTTATGTCTGTTATAGTAGATTCTAAGTTTGTTTTCGAGAAAGCGCTGTGAAGATTAATATTTTTGTTTCATCGAAAAAAGCGTCATGCACCAATACAAATTTTTATTGAATACGAGCAACTAGAAAGCATCATTTAGTTTCTATTTTTTTCAATTGAATAGAGAAATAATAGTTTCTACGAGGATGTGCGTGTCTCCAATAGTTGGAAGTTTTTCAGACTTTAATTTACATTTAATTTTACGCTGAGTATATTCAAAAGCTATTCGATTAATTAGGAGTTTAAGTGCTATTTTATTTGAGAGAATTTCTGTTCCTCACTAGATGAGTTTTTGTTTATTTCAGATTGGTACCAATAAACAATATAAAAATATGTCCTCTATCTCATCTCTCGAGTCTTTTACAAGTGAATTATTTTACGAAATATTTGATTACATGTTTCTTAATGATATTTATCATGCATTCTATGGAATCAATAATCGTTTCAATTATTTGATTGAAAACATCAATACAGCTCATTTGAAAGTATCAGGATATAAACAAGTAAGATACAAGATAATTGTTTCAAAGATAAAAATTATACGACTTTGTCTCTTTTTGTCTAAACAAAGTAAAAGAATGGATGAAAGTTTTAAATTATATTATGTAAAATGTTTTTGAATTCATGTATAAGAATAGATATCTTAATTTTTCGTTAAGGTGTGTTTTGACGAACAACAAGTGCCTGTCGACATACTTAAACCGAATAGAATTGTTTCTCTCCAATTGAGACATTATTTGTACAGAGAAGATATATCAATATCTGATATGCTACATTTATTTATTGAACTTCGTCATTTAAACCTTCATTGGGTATCTTGTAGAGTGGTTGATACTCTCATATATCCTCACCTTCGGTTTTTCGTCCATCTTCGATCATTGAGAATCTTCTATACCACTAGCATTGCCAAACATTGTGATCCAAATGAACACCTTTTTCAAAATTGTTTTCTGACTAATTTATTCGATTGTCTACCTGCTTCCATTGTCCACATTGACATAACAAACCATTTGATACCAGATAATATAGGATTGACTTCTCAACTTGCCCTTAATGCATCGCGTTTGTATTCATTGCGTCGCCTGAAAATTAATTGGATGTTTTTCAAAGATTTGGTCAATATTATTGATTGTCTCGGCCATCAACTTCGTGTTTTGAGTACGTGTACTTCCGATAACTTTGATTCAATACCAGAACGTTTGCATAGTATAACTCATATCAGATGCCTAAACTTAGAGATGTCATGGCTTCAAGGGATTGAGTTCATTCTTACATACTGCCCTGAACTTCAACAACTCCATGTGAGCGGATTTGGAAGACCTTCGGCCGTTTTCTGGAGTCAACAGCTCACAAACAAATGTACCAAGGTCAAATACTTTAGTTTATACTACTATTTAGGTGAAGATTATGATTACAACAGCCAAGATCGTACGGAGTGTCAGTTGGAATTTCTCCAGAATAATTTTTTCAAGCAAAAACATGCTAAAAGTGAACTGAAAGACGATGCAGAAGGTTTCTGGTGGCTCAGCGTTGGATTCAATGAAAAAAATTAATAACGAATCATTTTCTTACTTCTTTTTTCTGTCTAATACAATTCTATAGTATCCATTGGCGCTTATCTAACCATATCGAAATAAATTTTTCCCTAAATATAATCACAAGAAGGATATCACTCTGTATAATAAACAGCCTTAGCATTGATTTTTTACGTTGTTGGTAGGAATCAAACAGACCGCGATACAGTTATCTGAGAGATACATACACACTCTTCAGAAGAAGCGAAAGCCGATAGCCACAATCAATAGCACAATGCCTATACATACGCCAAGAGTGAAATTATAAATTACGAATTTCATTCATCGAAGCGTTTCTGTGGAAGAGAAATAACAAAATGAAAGTACTTTTATGTAATCACTCGCGCTTTACATAACACCTTTCCATATCTTAACTTGCGTCATACTAAAGTCTCTGTCAAAAGAGATGAGTTAGATACTATATATTCCTCTCCTAATTTCACTGTGCATAAAACTTATCATTCAACACGGCTCTCAAGATACATAGAGTCTCTCATACATCATTTATTGCCTTGGATTAATAATGAAGCATATAGTTAATAATACACATAAGAGTTTTAGTAAAAAAAAAAACATCAATTATATACTACAGGATGAAAATGTGGACATTCGTATTCTCTCCTCTGACACTCACATCCTAAAAGTATAGCTTTAGATAAGACTTATTTTGGTAAGTCACTAAAAGTTTTTCATTCGTTATTATTGATATCAAATGTTAAAGCTGCTTGATTCTTATCAATTATTTGAAGAATATGGACAACAACCGACTACAATTTGTCATGCATAAATTATATTTTAATTTAGTCATCGCTTAGTTGATATTGTTATACATGAATCAGCTATACAATTTTTAATAATAAGTGAAAATGATCGAAATTCATTATCATGAATTAATCACAAACATCGATATTTGCACATAATGAACGATGGCGTCTTATTATGATTTTACTTCTATGAGCTGTTGATAATGACACAAATCGTTGGTGGATCATTTAAAAGTTTTACCATCAAATGATATGGTTATTGAAAGAATTTTACGTTTATTTGAACTTGAATGAGATCAAGAAAAAAGAAACTCGAGCTTATACAGAAGGATCAAATAGATATACTAATAGTTTATCTAATGAGAAAAATATGAAATTTATAAAAGTACAATTTGTTTTATTTTTTTGTGGATATCATAGCAAAAAATTTCGTTATTTATTTTTGATAACTTTAGTTCAATTATACAGGATCCCAAGAAGATTGTAATAAGTATATAATGGAGGCGACGAGCGATCGAAAAGTTTTCTTGATGAAAACGCAATCATAAAGAATTTTCGTATTTTAACTTTGAAATAATTTCAAAACATTGATTTTATATTATCGTACACAAATCAGTTGATTATCAAATGTCATATTTATCAAATGTCGTATTTATCAAATAAGCTCATTAAATAGCATCTGACATTCAAGTAAAGCTATTTCTTTGATTAGAGACGTGCAATACTTTCTTTTCCTTAAATTAAAAAAAATGTATTGTAATTTTTAAACATGAATAGTTAAAATTAAATTAAGACATACCATTATCAAAGTATTATCTTTTTATCAATTGAAAAGATGAATTTCAAAGAAAAATAATAGTTTAGATGTTCTACAAATTGTCTAGATCTCTTTCTGCGCGTATATTCAATAGTTTACAACAACTCGAGATTGATGCTAGCAATTGGCAATTCGAGGGCTCTATATAGAATTTTGATGCTTATCAGTAGCTGAAATCAATGTGTCAAAGTGTTTATCGAATGATCGGCTGTTATGTGCATATTCTCATCATCCACACTTATATTTGTCATCTTTTTGCTCTTGTAAGAAAAAATAAGAGAGAGAACCCCAACTGTTTGCTTATCTGTGTAAATATGTAGGTTGTGTGAAATGAAGAACAACCTTGAGTGACGACGAAATGAGAAACCTTATCCGTTTCTTTCATTCTCTTTTTTGACAATGTGCACCTAAGACACCATATAAGTAATAACATCACGTATTTCGACATTCGATTATTTTTTACACAGCTCATATATACTATTGTATTTATTCCTTGAATCGAGTAAGTATGAGAATAATTTTGGAAAAAGTATCTGTTAAAAAATGATTTTAAAGAATTAGGTAGTAAATAGTAAAATGAATACAAGCTGCAAAAAATTAAAATTTCTTGTTTTCTAAAACTGTTGCTTTCATAAAGATTTCTTCAACTTAAAGTGAACAATACAAATGATGAAAATAGACCTTATGAACTGACCAACCCGTGAGGTTTTTTAAAATAAACTGTTAGACACCGACGAATACACTATAGCTTGTCAATATTGGATATATCTCAACAAAGTTTTTTTTAATTGTTAGAGTTGTTAGTTATTGATAAGAAAGTGAAGCTGATACAATACGATTGCAGTAAACAATTTTAATAAATAACATAATTAATTACAATCATGAAAATTAAAATATACCAGGTCGATGCCTTTACTGATCAATTATTTGGCGGCAACTCTGCAGCGGTATGCCCATTAGACGAGTGGTTACCTGATTCATTAATGCAACAGATTGCTGCTGAAAACAATCTGGCTGACACGGCTTTTTTCGTGCCAAAGTCCAACAATGATGGATATGAACTTCGTTGGTTTACGCCTCAACTAGAAATAGATCTTTGTGGTCATGCGACATTAGCAGCTGCACATATCATTTTCACTGAAATGTCCTCAGTGAATGAGGAAATCAACTTTCAAACCAAGAAAGCTGGTGCACTTAAAGTAACCCGCCAAAAGAAAAATGGTTTATACACCCTCAATTTTCCAGCTCGTCCAGTAGTCAAAACTGATGTACCTGATGGACTGTTGTTAGCGTTACGCAGCAATGTAACTCCCATTGAAGTTTATAAAGCAAGAGATCATATGCTCGTTTATGAAAAAGAGGCTGATGTCAAACAATTGTCGCCGGATTTTATGGCGTTAGCTAAAATTGATTCTGTTTTTAGTGTGATTGTTACTGCTCCCGGTGATGAAGTCGATTTTGTTTCGAGGTTTTTTGCCCCGAGTGCTGGCATTCCCGAAGATCCTGTTACTGGTTCATCACATTGTAGTCTCACCCCTTATTGGGCTGAACGGTTGGGTAAAAATCAGCTGCATGCTTATCAGATTTCGGCGCGTAAAGGAGAGCTTTGGTGCGAAAATCAAGGTGACAGGGTGCTCATGTCTGGCAAAGCAGTCACCTATTTAAAAGGTGAAATAAATGTTTAAGTTTGCATATTCATAGTATAGACGAATCAATATATTCTTTTCCTATGTTCAATATTTTTTGTGTCAATTCCAGATTTTGAAAATATTGAAGAAAATATAAAACGATGCTCACTAACAAGTACAAAACAAAATGACTCACACTGCCTCAATTTATTAATATGGCGTGAGAAAATTTTTAATAAAGTGGTGCATTCATACCCATACATCTAGAGCAGCTGAGAAAAAGTTGATCATTGTCAGGAAAAAAATGAAATTGGCATATTACTTATGGTATTATCTATATAGTGCTTGAATTTTCAATGAAAAAAAACAACTCTTATAGATAGCTTTTCATTAGACTTTGAATGTTTTTTGTGTAATGAGCTTTTGCTGAGTTGTTTTTTTTACTAGAAAGACTCGATCCGATAAGGCGATCGATGACATGAGCTTCATTGACCATCAATCAGTATCACATGATTAACGAAATACTAGATTAATCTTGTCTAAGACATTTTTTTCAACATCATCAATGGTACTCGACATTGCTTCGATGATCGAAATCATTTTTTTATATATAGAATTGTCACATCGAAACTCACACTCACACGCTTCACACTGTGATTGACGCACGAAGAAAACGAACTCTCCGTTGAGAACCATCAAGACCACCAAGACGATGCTAGAAGGCATGAGAACATCGTAAATGCAGCACGCCAAAATACGAATATGGTAGCCAAGTGGTATCGCTTCATTATAAAATTTTCGAAAAAAACACGAAGAGTGGTCACTCAAAGAAAAACAAACGAACAACATAGGCACTGAAACAATAGGTAATAGCATAGTTCAAACGATTATACATGGTATCAATCGAGAGTAATTTGAAAAGTATCAAGCATTCTTAAATTGCTAGTTAGTTATTCGATTGTTGAGATACCATTCGCTAAATACGAAAATATGTGTACTACAACTTGTTTAGGTCACACTAAAGGAAACAATTGGTTTTGTTCGATTTTCATACGTTTTTTTCATTGCCTTCTCGATGAACCAATTGCAAATAAATTTAATGTGTCAATGGAATTCGTGTAGATAATAGTTTCGATAACTTTTACAATATTCTTTGAAATTAGAAGCTGTTACTGGAATATCTTTACTGTTCGAAATCAGTTCATAAATTTATCTAGCTAAACTACATCGAAATAGATATTTCCTGAAGCTCATTAATAAAATAGTCTGTATAAGTACGAATTCTAACTTAAATACGTTCTATTTACAGACAAATACCATTTTGTTGCAATATATATATTTTTTTTTCTGTATTTAATCGTGTGTCATCATGTGATATTTGAGTAATTCGTTTGTTTCAATTTTAACAATCGTTATAACTGATAAACTCATTGGATCAATAGTTTCATCATAAGTAAGACGTGAATTGAAACATTGTTGGTATGATATTTTTCTATGAGCATATTGAATTGATTTTGTAATTATTTCGTGATAATATTCAATTTCATGGATCATCATGTTTTGTTCTTCGATTAGTCAACTTAAATCTAATAAATAATAAGTAGGATAAGATGCTTTGCTTAATCTCATTGATTTATCTTGCCTATATTTAATGAGCAGTCTGGTAAAACTATTTCGTATTAAACAATAGTATTTTTTTGTTATATCTTATTTTTCAAAATAGATCGACGTGTGTCTTGTTTAACATTAATTGATCATCATCGACATGGATATAAATTGTCATTGATTCACTTTTCATATGTGTTTCCCTACTAAGCAATAGACACAGACGACAATCGTATGTTAAGAAAATTGTCGATTTTGAATTTGATGTTACTAGTGTTAATTATTTGGTTATTGTTGATAAATTAGCAATAACAATATCAAGAACGAGTGTATATTCGTAACGAGATACGTTTAGTTTTAGCATAGTGCTGCTTTTGACCGATTAGTTCTTTCGATTGTTTTGAAATATTTACATTGATTATGAACACAACACTCAGATCTAAAAAAGCAACGAAGTTTTTTTTTTTCGAAGAAAATACGAATATTTGATGACAAATAAAGCGAAACCAGAAACAATACGATGAATAACATGAAAGTTATCTTGCCAAGGGAACAATGCGTTGTAATCGTCGCCATCGTAATATTCGATTCATCACCACACGACGAAAACGAGGGTAGCAAAACATCAAAAGATAGAATCGTCCCTAAAACGTATGACAAAAGAAAATGGTCGCTACAATTCATAAAAAACTTACTCCATAAGCTACTGAGCCAAAAAGAAAAGTGACATTGGAGGCCAAGGCTTCCTTGACTTCTTGATTAGCATTTTTTTTGACATATCTTGTAATAATAGAATAAGCACTAAAAATATCGTACGGACTTAGAAATACTAGGACAAGCAAGACTTGTATGAAAACTATAATTGTCATTTGTCGATCAATACGAAGACGCGAGAGAACAGTTGTCTTTTTTATATTTCTATATGTTAAAATTGCAAATACCATCATAATTAAAATATGAATAACACCAAGTGTAATACAGAAGAAAAACACGGCATAGGCGTAAAATGCATCACTGCGATATATACAAACGTCTGTAATTGGTGACATGTCCTGATAAAATAACCAAAGGATACCATGAACCCACCAAATGGTAATAACACACAAAGAAGCTCGATGTGCATTTTTAATCCTGCTCCATTGACGAAGTCGAACATGTTGAGATGTAATGAGAAACTGATCAATCGTCGCCAAACATGTACAAGTCAAAGGAATAGCGCTAAAACTTGACGTGAAAAAAAATCGAAGTTTGCACCAAACAACAGAAAGACGTCTCATGTCAATGTTCAGACACGCAGCAACAACAAGCGGACTGATCGTAGCGATAAACTGACCACATTCATGTATTGCAGCAATTATAAAATAGAATGTACACGGAGTCTTTCGATAATAAGGTACCGTCATTAGAATGAGCACTTGCATAACACTGCCGATCAGTCCCACAATCAAGATAAACATACCGACATAGATCATAATTAGTCGATGAATAACGACTAATGACGTCATAACTTATTCTGATAATAGACACTTCTGTAATCGAAAATTACTTTAAAATGGTTATAAATCATTATAAGTATCTTATTCATATCCAACTAAATCGGACTTTCTTTGTTTACACGATATTTCTCGCCTAAAAATGATTTTTCTATACTTATTTTATATATTTATTTATTATTCTATGAAAAATTACGTCAGAGTGCATTGCAAGATAGTGCGCTTAATGTTGAATAACTATTATCGAAGTGAATGAAAGTAAGAATAAGTTTGATATATTGAAGAACTCTCGAAAAATAGTGTTCTATTTATAATAGTCTTCTTTTATATGATATTAATAAAAGCTTAGTTGAAAAGTGAATTCGTGATGTGCTATATCTTGACGTACCGTTCCAAACAAAAAAAGTACTTGGTTATAATGAAGCATCTTCAACAAATTTTAGAAGCGCGTTTAAAAAAGAAAAGTAGAGGAACATAAAAAAAGGATGTTTAGGAATAAAAAAAACCATGTCATGAATGAAATATTAGGCTAAATGCTATCCTACCAGGTACTCATCTTAATTTTGATAATGGAGATGACAGATGAGTTTTTAGCTTACTGAGATCTATGCGTAGATGTACACTTTTTCACGCAATATAATATCGGTAATTCTTCAAAAGTTTGAAAAAAGTATAGAGCTAATTTGGTGATAACAATGAAATAAAAATGATTAGTCAAATCGTAAATGCGAACATGGAAAACATTGATCTGTCGTTGGACTATGTCGCGTTCTTTACTCAAGCAAATACCGTCCGATCATTCATAGAGAACGATGATAATGAAATTTCCATACAAGACTTCTAGAGAAAAAGAAACCGTGTTGATAAAATATGAAAAACAACTGAATAAAATAATAGTTCTATAGCAGAATTTTTGTTATGTTAAGTACTTCAGAAAATAAGAGGTACTACTATCATAAGAAATGCATGCAAGTAAAGACTGAGAGACAAAGAATATTTTAATTGACGACATACAAACTTCGTAGCATTTTAAATTTATTCTAACTTGAAGATTAATGCTTCACGAGCAGAAAAATCATGAAAAGAAGAAGAAAGGAACAGCATTAGTATGCTCCATGTAAAAATTGATGAAAATTTAATGATTTAATGAAAGAACGAGAGATGACTTTTTTTAACCATGAAAATACATTAAAAAGTTGATTTTAATGTATTTTTATGGTCGAAAAGGTAACTTTTCTCTTTCATTAAATCGATTTATTTATTATAAAGTTTTTCAATGGGATGTACTATGCATCCAAAAGAAATAGGCGAAAATCCTAGATAAAATAACGAGTGAAAATGATGAAATGAAGCGTGATACATAAACTAAAACTATTTAGGTAATTAGTCAAATAAACTCGTATACTCTAAGAACGATGAAGATTAAAACATTTAATAACAAAGAGACTGAATTGAAACACAAAAGAAACATGGGAAGAAGAAAGAGAAAAGTAGAAATGAGAGAAAATGCACAGCAGTGAAGCGTTTTCTCAGTTGCATGACTTCTTTCATTTATCATCAAAGGTCTTATATTCAAGTGAAGCTCAAAATATTAATTTCGTCTTGAAAGATTATTAGATATGTTTCCATAGTAACAGTCGCGTATCAGCTATAAAAAATTGTTATAATTTTAATTTATTTCTTCATTGTACGTGCTACACTCGCTTGTAATATTATCGAATGTATTGTATTGATGATGTATGCTCCAGAGATCATCTGAGTGGTGAACACACTAGTCTACTGCCACTGATCATTTCTTCTTCTCTGTGCTTGCTCTTTATATTGCTGTACTATTCATTTCAGCTGATTGTTCACAAGACTTTGTAGTGCATGCCTTTGGTCAATATTCTCTTCTGCCAGTTATTGATCTGAAGTTTCTTTAAATTACCAATAATCCTGCTTCATTATCTCTTTTTTAAG